AGCCTAAGTGCCCATCTATGGAAGAATGGATAAACAAACTTTGGTACATACACACAATAGAATATTATGCCACTGCATAACATGGATGAACCTTGAAGACATTATGCTGAATGAAATCAGTCAGTCACAAAAGGAGAAATACAACATAGAGCCATGACAAAAACAAAAATAATACAAAACAAACAACAAGGGAAAAAACCCAAATCCAGAAAACAATAAATGTTGGTGAAGATGTGGGCAACTTGGAACCCTTATATACTGTGGTTGAAATACTAAATGGTACAGTTGTTGTGGAAAACAGTATAAATAAGTAGTTAGATAGATGCTAACGTTCATTGCAGCCCTATTCAGCATAGTCAACCTAAATATTGGAAGCAACCTAAATGTTCATAAATAGATGACTGGATAAACAAAATGTGGTTCCTACATACAATGGAATACTCCTCAGCCAGTAGGAGAAATGAAATCTTGGTACATGCAACAGTATGGATGGAACTTGAAGACATTATGCTGAATGAAATAAGTGATTCACAAAAGGACAAACATTGTATGACCTCATTTATACAAAAAGTCCTGGTGTGGCACTTTGGGATAATGCAGAGTACTTCAAGGTCAGCTTGAACCTCAAGGTCTGCAGTTCAAACTCACCAGCTGCTCCTTGGAAATCCTATGCAGGGTTACTATGGGTCAGAACCAACTCGATGGTATGTAACAACAACAATACTTTTACAAATAGTTAAGAAAAGGAAACTATATAAAGACTAAAATTTATTAGTCAAATGCCATGGGCATGATAGACTGAAAAAGTGGCAGAGCTGGGGGTATATGGGGATGATTATTGTTTATGGAGTACTGAGCTTTTGTTACAGTGATGGAAAGATCACATTGATTAAGGGTAAATATTGTACAACTGACTAATTGAATTGCTGTCAGTGAGTTGTACACTCTAAAAAGTGAGTTAGCAGAAGTTATGTGAAAGATATATTTATAGCAATAACAAGAGTAGCCACTGAGCCCTGCTTGTAGATAATCAAATGCATTACTGGATTTGGTTCTTTGGTTTGGAGGTTTAGGGTCAATGTTTCCCGGGATAGTCCAGTTAATTAGTCTAATATTACTTCTATTCTGCCTCCTAGTTCTTTGAGTAGCGCCTGGGGTCTTAAAGGTTTTCCAAAGGAGGCTGTCCAAGCTACAACAATTGGTCTCTTTTTGTCAGGAGCAATAGAGAAAGAAGGAGTGTCAGGAAGAGGAAATGGAATGCCTGGCTAAATGCCTCCATGATCAACTGCCTTCTTAGCCCTGAAACTTAAAGAGCTAGATGGTGCCTGTCTACTGTTACCAAATGTTTTTATCTAAGATTCCACAGGAGAATCCTGATCAAAAGGAAAAATTCATAGAATTTTAAATTCTCATGGAATCCAGAATTTCTGGAACTATGGATCCTGGATGGACCCCTGAAATATTGTCCTAAGGTCATCTTTAAACCTTGAAATATCCCATGAAGTCTTCCTTAACCTAAAAGCAGTTTAATTAGAAAGAATGCTTGCCTTGAGCTTTGTGCTCTTCAAAAGAACTATCAAGATCAGATCAAATTGACAACAGCACCTCAAAAGATTAGATAGAAAACTTAGGTGTCAGTGAGTTTATGTTAATGGAGGAGGAAGAACTCAAAATGGGAGAGTGAGCGTGGTTGCAGAACTTGAAGAATGTAATCTATGTCATTGATTTATACACATAGAGTTGTGTCAGTGCATGTTCTGCTGTGCATATTCTTAACAATGACAACAACAACAAAAAATTTAGAATGTTTAAAAATTCATAAGTCAATCTTGCTTCAGCAGTCTTCATGATGGTAGGACCCAGAGAATGAATCCTGGTAAGGAAACTCTTCAACTCAGCTTGGGGTCTTGTGATAACTCTTGGAGCTAGATAACATCAAATGACTCGACAAATGTGCTCAGTGTCATGTCCATTGTGGGAGTTGAGGAAGTATTATAAAAAATGAGGTTAGAACACAGGAAATGATGAAAGGCTATATCCAAGTTACTCAATTAAACACACAAAGGAAACAGAACAGTTTGAGAAATAGAGCTCAAGAGGCAAGATTGGTAGGGTTTTAATAGCTCTGCCACCCATTTTATCATCTGGAGGCAAGCTCAAATTTGATAAATTCTTTGCCACATTGAACCTATGGAGTCTAAGTCACACTGATTCTTCAGGTTTTTGACCAATGGCCTTCATGTGTAACTATTGCTTGTCTGTTAGTGATGGCCTGCATGTTGCTATGATGCTGAATAGTTGTCAGTGGAGCTTCCAGACTAAGATGGACTAAGAAGAAAGGCCTGATGATATACTTCTGACACTCAGACAAGAACAATCCAGTGGATCACAGTGAAACTGATCTGTCACAGATCATAGGGATGGTGCAGGACCAGGTAGCTTTTTCTACTATTGTTCATGGGGTTGCCAGGAGTTAGGACTGATTCAATGGCAGCTAACAATAGCAACAACATATGGAGAAACCCTGGAGGATATCAGGTAAACCAAGTCCTAGCCAAGGAAAAACCAGTTGCTGAGATTACTCTCATCCAACCTAACAGAAGAACAACATGTAGGCAGTCCCATAGTTACCATAACAACCCAAAGTTACTGATCAATCCCTGTAAATCCTAGTATATTAAAAGTTTGAGATCTACGCAGTGGTTCATAATTACAAACGGACATTACTTTGCAGTGCACATCAAAACATTATTTTTATTATTACTCTACTATGTTAAAGATATTTTAGTGTATCTGAAAGTGTTTCTTTAATGTTTTTATGCTTAGAAAGATGTACTATAAATGATATACTAAGGCAAACATTTGACTAACTGACATTACATACCAACTGTACCTAACTGTTCTGATATGTATGGAACTTGTCATAATCCTGGTCTTCTTGTAGTGATAAGAATGTGATCGCTGATATGTATAAACACTTGTATTTTTTGGGAAAAAAAAAAAAGCTCTTCATGTCATGTGGAACTACTATGGGAAACCCTGGAAACAGCCTGTAACCACACCTGGTATGGGACTCAGGGATCTTTTCACAGAAGTTCCAGAAAACTATGCTTGAAATCACCCATAAGCCAGAAAATCACTGCAAGTTTTGTCATTTTATCTCACTAACATTGCACATAACAACAACAACAACAACAACAACATTGTGAAATACTAAAGGGTCATTTTACAAATGAAGGAAAAGGAAGTTCAAAAGGTTTACCCACCTTGCCTCAAGTCACTTCACTACAGTCATATTATGAACCTAGACTGGTCTCCAAAGTTAGCAGTCTGTGCATTCTATCACATCATTGTTTCACTAATCCATCTATCTTTTCATCAGATACTTATAAAATACCTGGTTTGTGGCATGCACTGTGCAAGAGATGGGGATACCAAAGTAAACAGACAAGCCCAACACTGTATGTCACTGTTAACATGTGCAAGGGTTAATGTGTGATTCTTTCCTGTAGCTCTGCTAGAATCCAGGAGGACGGCACCCCAACCAATAGTTATACATAGGACTTTGCAATGTGAGGTCAACACCTCTTACCCCAGGACTCTGTCTGAATCTGAGCTTGAGAGGTTGAACCAAAGAACTCTTGAAAGACAGAAGGTCCAAGGTGCCAGTTGTGAATTGTTGATAGAGAAGGACTTTGAGCAACTCAGACAGTTAGGATATCAAGTCTGGCTCCAGCAGATCTCTGGGCAAAACGTCTGCTACTTTCTCTGGCTCACATATGATCATAACTCATTTTTTTTTTTTTTTTTTGGTTGGGTGCATGTAATGGACTCTGACTCCCCCTCTTGGAGTCAACTTAACTTCATCTCCAAGGGAGTAGTAGCTCTTGCTGTTTGAAGCCTCACTGGCTCCCTCTGTAGAAGTTTTTTCTTCATGACTCTCTGCTTCCTGTTGGGGACGCACAAGGAACCTCCCTAACTCCCTTTGTACTTTCCCATCTTAATTCTGGTGAGATTAAAAACCTTATAAATTCATAATTTGATTGTTTCATCTTACAACATTCTTCCCATCTTCAGATCCTGTACCCAAGTTTGTCATAAAATTTGAGGTGAAAATTGAAGAGGATAAATGTCACATGCGTCTATCGTGTGAAATCGCGGACAAGACTGCAAACTACATCTGGTATAGAGATTCAGGACCCTTTCCACCGAAGCTTCAGAAAAGTATGCTTGAAATCACCACCACACCAGAAAATCACTCCACGTTTTATACCTGCCAAGTCAGCAATGATGTAAGCAGCAAGAACGACACAGTATTTTTCACTCCACCCTGTACTCTGGGTAAGAACTATCCCTGAGGGATCTGGGGAAATGAGATGGCCACAGGGTAACGAGTTTTCTCCTGAATAAAGAAGTGTGTGGAGATCCTACTCAGCCTCAGTGCTTGGGAGACTTGGGAGACTATTTCCAGTTCTGCTACTACCTCTTAGTAAGCTTACCTCATCCCATATCTGTGTCCCCATCTGCAAAGGACAGTTTGCATCAGAGCTATGAGGTCAGGATAATTATAGCATACTATGAACCATCAGGGTGACCATAGAGAGAAAGAACAAATGGCCTGTTAGGTCAGAGCTCAGGAGGACAGCTCAAACATTTTGAGCAGGTCAGAGTAACTTAACTTCATCTCTAAGGGAGTAGCTCTCACTGTTTGAAGCCTCACTGGCTCCCTCTGTAGAGGTCTCTTCTTCATGACTCTCTGCTTCCTGTTGGGGGCGCACAAGGAACCTCCCTAACTCCTTTTGTACTTTCCTGGAGGACAGTCTAAATCTAAGTAGATGAGCATGGGCAGGACTAGTGAACAGGGGTGAAAGCCATATCCTAGAGTAAAGGATAAGTTTCTACATAGGTTTCTACTCTCAAAAAAGTTTAGGTCAAGCTGTGGGTTCATTGTTCAGATTCCTCTGTGTCTCTTGGGAGGATTCATTCACTTGAGTACCATTCCTTGCTCTAGATTATGCCTGCACTGTGCTCTAATGAAGGAGCCCTGGTGGTACTGTAGGATAAGCATTGAACTGCTAAGCACAGGCCAGCAATTCAAACCCACCAGCTGCTGCTCCATGATGAGGCTTTCTGCTCCTGTAAACATTGATATCCTTGGAAGAGTTGCTGTGATTCCGAATGAACTTGGTGGCAGTAGGGTTGGTTTGGGTGCAATAATGTGGTAGCTAAGATCATGGGTTTTAGTGTCTGTGCCGTCATTTGATAGACAAGTTACATAACTTCTCTACTCCATGTCTTCTTAAGTAAAAGACAAAATAAAAATTAATAACTTATGGGATTCTAAGGAAGATTTAATGATACAATCCACGTATCCTACACAGAGGAGTATTTATCATTTAACAAGTTCCCAGTAAATGGTAACTAAACCAGGCTCAGTTTCTTGAACTCTATAGACACTAGGTGCTTTTGTTGTTGTTAAGTGCTGTCGAGTCGGTTCCAATCCATGGCGACCCTGTATAGGGTTTCTGAGGAGCAGCTGGTGAGCTTGAACAGCCTATCTTGCCGTTCAAATGGCTTTGCAGCCTGGCGCATTAACCCAAAGCACCACACCAGGACTCCAGGTGCTTTGGGAGACCCCTTCCCCTTAATAAATCTGGGTCAGTATCTCCAGCATTTCAGGTCCTATACCACCACTCACAGTTCTGAAGTCATATCATTGAGCCCTGGTGTACAAAGTCTTCCAAGACAACTCATACCTGGGAAGCCTTCATTTGTCTTCCAGTCCCTGCCATGTCTAGTCCTCAGGGATCAGACCTCTGGGGATATTGTTCTTTTCAGATTTTCCATGGCCCAGTATACTCTTCCCACCTATGTTTATTTCTTTACCTCTGCGTCCACACCTGGACATTGGAACCTGTACTCTTCTTTGCTATTATCAACTAATTGGTCATGCTACTTCTGATCTCTCCTAATATGTTACTACAGACCCAATGTGACAGTTAATTTTGGTGTCTGACCACAAGACCATAATTTAGCTGAAGGGTTTCCACAGCACCTTCATATCAATGCCACATCCTGAAGTCCACAAAAGGGAAAAGGTGCAAATCCTGTTACTTATAAAATGGGCTGTGGCTGCTCTCCTCAGAAAGGATGAAAGTAATAATATACCCACTTGTTTGAAAGGCTCAACTTATTTTGTCACTTTTTAGCCACCTCAAGTCATCCTAGAAAAAAATCCTTATCTGCTCCTCCATGTCATTCATTCTCTTTTTCATTTTCTTTTGTCCTCCCTTTCTTTCTTCCTTCCCTCTTCTTTCTCCCTCATTTCCTTTCTTCCTTCTTTCTCTTTTTACATTTCTTTCTTTCTATCTCTCCTCCTCTCTCTGCCTCCATTCTTTATCCCCTTCCTTTATTCTTTTATTCTTCCTCCCCCCCCTTCCTTCCTTCTTTCCTGTCTTCCTTCCTCCCTTTTAACCATTCTTTCCTATTCCCTCTTTCCTCCTAGTTGGTGCAGATGGTTAGAGGGTTAGAGAATCAGGAAGAAGGAATCCTTCCTTCCCTAAAGCCAGCTAACCCAAAGTAGCATACTATGGTACTTTGTCTATACCTGAAGCTCTTCCCTGCCTCACTGCTGTCCAGTGAAGAAAAGGGATTATTTCCCAGGATCACAGATAAACCAAAGTAATCTTGCAAGTCCCACAAAGGTAATGGTATTTAAGGGATTTCTGCACTCTTTGTATTTTACATTTGTGATGATTTTCTCAAGCACACTGGAACTAGATCCAAGGGGGAAGTTCATTTGTCTAGTGTAGGACCTCCCAGGCCCCCGTCTTCCATAACCTCCTCCCTGCCCCCGGCCAGCACATTAATCAAGAATTTTATGTTTTCTTAATACACATGGCTTTGGGATTTTGAATTGGTAAATATTCATGATGTGTGAAAAAAAGCACAAATCCCTACTGTATGATCTCAACCATCTAAAACTATGTATTCAGTTATGTGTATGTACACATAGGATGTCAAACTTGTCATCAAATCACCAAATTGAAAAAAAAAAATGAAAAAAGAATTTGATGTTTTCTTGTTCTTTCAGCCCGATCCTCTGGAGTATCTTGGATGGCAACTTGCTTATCAGTCATGGTACCTACCATTCTTGGCCTCCTATTTCTCTGAGAAGAGTTCTTCTAACCCAAGAATGAAACTTCAAGGCCCAAAAAGCCTTGCTTCATCAGCAACCATGCACAAGATCTCTTAACCAGCACAGGAGCTATATGGGTGGGGAATGCGTGTTATTGAAGAATCCATGATGGTTTTTAAATTAACTTTATTTTAACTACTGTTATTTTAGGAGTCTTGGTGGTACAATACTTACAGTACTTGGCTGTTAACTGAAAGTTTGGGGTTTTGAACCCACCAGCCATTTCATAATAGGAAGAGGTGGCAGTCTGTTTCCATAAAGATTTATATCCTTGGAAAGCCTTTGGGACAGTTCTGCCCTGTCCTGTAGGCACACTATTAGTCTAAATTAATTCGATAGCAATGGTTTGTCTGTTTTTTGTTAGTATTTTATTTAATATCTCCTAGTTGTTTATTGACACCTAAAGATACACATGTACTCTTCCCACGAGAATGGCCATAACATGCAGGAATTTTCTGAGTTGTTTAAGTAAATGTTTGATATAATATTCATCCAAGTGGATTCCTGGAGTTGCCCTAAATTTGTTAGACAGTGTCTGCTCATCAGCCTGGGCAAAGTGGAAAATTGGGACTCAAAGGGGGAAAATCCTGGGATTAAAGACCCCTGTGTGTCAGAAAAGCTGTGGAGTTAATTTGTATTATCTCTAACCCTTGCGCCAACATCCACGCTAAGCCTCTTGGGCTTCTAGCTCTCTCAAGCTCCCTTGGTCTTTGATTAAGCTCTGGCCTTTAAAAAAAATAGTTTTTAGCCTCTTCCAGCCCCTCAGAGGAAGACTCTCATTTAGGGTTCCTGGAATATGGGTTCAGGGTTACTATTCCAGAATTGAGCATGCATGTTACCACATAAGAAGGGTCCCTCCCAGCTCTTTCAGGAAATCTGAGTTTCCCCTCCTCCTCTTTTCACCATTGTTTCTGAGTGGAAAGCTTTCCAAGTCCTAGTTGTGTCATAGGAGCCAATGGACCATCACATTGACATGTTTATTATTTGTAGGTAGGGAGATTCTCCCCTGATATTGCACCTAGAATTTGAGTTTTAAGTCCCCTCTTTTAAGTGTCCCCTTGGGCTAGGGACTGAAAGGCCTAGTAAAAAATTTGCACCCCCCCCAAAAAAAAACAGTCCCACTATTGACCACTTTCTCCTTAAACCAGACCAATCTTCCCCACATCCCTCGAGCCCTTCACCTTCTTTGATCTCTTTTGTAATAAATAGATAATGCTGTGTATTTACCCAACACTACAATTTTTCTCCTGGGATACTAGAAAAACTCCTTTTCCCAGTTCTCCTTTCATCTACCCGGAGCCATGTGACTTTTCTGGTCAATAGAATGTAAGTAGATTTGACGTGGCCAGAAGTGAGGAACTCTGAAAAATGAAACAAAAAACTCAAGGCCCCTGGATCGGAAATATCACTTGGAGGGCCGCTGCCTGGAAACACATGGCAGGAAAATTTGAGTTTTGTCTGTTACCATAGGATAGTTTGGGCTCCCTAAAATACCCACCCCTTCCTCAGCTCAGCCTGCACTTCCATTCTAACCTCACCTCTGATCAGCCTCCATCCTCCAATATGACTGTCCAGACCTGCTTTCTGTAAGCAATCCTCTTCCCTTTTCTTGGTGGGACAAGACGTTGGGGATACAAGACCCCATACACCAAGAATTTGTGCCTACAGAAGTTGCTGCATCTGCCTTAAGTCTGGTTCTATTGACCCATCAGTGAACCTAGGAAAGCTAGGAAGCACATGCATGCACACCCACCTACATGCATGAGTAGAATGAAAGGACATTGCTGGAAACAGTATGAAGGAAAGAATGACCATTTACATCACATATGGAGTCTTGGTGTGGCTCTGTGGGTTAATGTGCTGGACTGCAAAGTCACTTTGAAACTCAAGGTTGGTAGCTCTAGCTCCTTGGAAACACTATTACAGGGTCGCTATGGGTCCGAATCGACTCAACAGCACTTAACAACAACAATGAACCTCACCTATAGTCATGTTCCTTGGTTGTTATGGAACAGGAATACCTCTGCAGACATCGCATTAGTTCTATCGGTTCTAGTTACTTGGAAATCAGAAGCAAATCATACCTTAGCAGGGAAGACCACGACAGCCCGGATTGCAGGCAGCACCAAATACATAATTTGTGCAAAATGAAAATGTAGGGCCCTTGTGCAAAAAGCAGGAAAAAAATGCCATTGAAGCTACTAAAATATTCCTTTCCTATGCAGTCTTTCTCCTTTCAAAGGGTGTTTTCCATGTGCCATTTAATGTCAGTCTAGGTAATGAAAAATGTAAATAATGAGTTTTGTCATTTATAAATATATTGTGACGTATCTATTTGAAATACAATATAAAACATTTAATTCACATATGGAATCATTTAAATTGCTCAATTAATGTTTCATAGCTTGTATACACATATGTGGAGTCCTGGTGTGGTGCTGTGGGTTAATATACTGGACTGCAATGTTGGTTTGAACCACAAGGTTGGTGGTTCAAACTCACCAGCTACTCATTGGAAACTCTAAACTCTATACAGGGTCACTATGGGTTGGAACCAACTCGACAGCACATAACAACAACACACATATATGTGAAGTCCTGGTATGGTGCTATAAGATAACGCTGGACTGCAAAGGTTGGCTTGAACCACAGGTTGGTGATTCAAACTCACCAGCCACTCCTTGGAAACCCTATACAGTGTCACTATGAGTCTGAACCAACTCAATGGCACTTAACACCACTAACAACACATATGCATATATATTTTATTCTTACTACCCAGGTTAAGGTGTCCTGGTATGGCACTGTGGGGTTAATGTGCCAGACTGCAAAGCTGTTTGAACTGCAAGGTCAGCAGTTCAAGCTCACCAGCTGCTCCTTGGAAACCCTTTACAGGGTTGCTACGAGTCACAACTGACTCAATGGCACTTAACAACAACAACCCAGGTTAAACACTTCACAAAGCTAACTCAACTATTTTTATTTTACTTTTTAATGCACCCACTTTCTACCAACATTCAGTGGAAGATGGTGGTTTCTATAACATGCTGACCTTGTGTTTACTTGAAGGCTTACTGAGTTCTCCCATAACATGGGTTCATTGGAATTTGGTGCTTCTGGGGCATCATGAATACTATATGTGAATGAAGTGATAAGGAACAGTGGGCACTATTACACCATATAACATACTGCACATGTTTTCTCTGATCTTGTATATGCTGTGTTATCCCAACAGACTTGACTTACAAAACACAAGTTGAAAGTTTAAATTATTAAGAATTTCAAGATGATGACTGCAGAGTATTAAACAAGTGCCGTGTTTCTCCTAATGCAGATCCTGCATAGATTGCACCCATGAAGCAGGACTTGTCTCAAGGGCACCTGGTATTCTATGTTTAAACAACTCCCTTCTCTGGAAAATTCAGCATGAGGACAAAGCCTGATTCTCAAATGCTTCCCTGTCTCTCATATTTTCCTATGCATCAAAATTTAGAGATGTAAATTTTGTGAACTCAAGCCTTTTGTCTGTATGCAAAGAGGACACCTTGGCACGCTAGGGAAATTCTTATCATACACATCCTCATGTGTCCTTAAGTCTTAGTATATAAATTGTTTCAGTCTCTCATTCCGCCAGTTCTGGAGAACTCTGCAACACTTCTCCCTTTAGCTCCACTGAAGCCTGTTTAAGCAAAACTTAAGATCTAGGATTAGATAATGGCTTCTCAAACTTTAACTTTCCAGAAAAATTCCTGAGAAGCCTGTTAAAATATGACTTGAGTTAGTCATAAATATTCAGTCACTATTAATATTTAGGAGCTCTGGTAGCGTAGGGGTTACGAATCGGGCTGCGAACCTTAAGGCCAATGGTTGGAAACTACCAGCTGCTCCGCGGGAGAAAGATGAGGCTTTCAACTCCCATAAAGATTTACACCCTCGGAAACCCTGTACAGGGTCGCTATGGATTGGAACTGACTCGACGGCACTTAACAACAACAACATTAATATTTACTGAGTGCCGACCAGTGCTTACTGCTAAGTCTCTATGCTAAAAACTGCTTCATGAGAGCTGCTGATATTGACTGAGGCCACTCTTGACCAAGGCTCTGTATCAAGCTCTGTATGATTGCTCTCCTTTAAAGAATGGGGTTGAGTGTTAGAAGAGGAATTTTTACCAAAATTCTTCCTTAGAGATTTGGACTTTAATGGCTTCTTTGTCTGAATTAATTCTAAACAACTCTTGCTGAGATTAAATTAGCTTTAGAAAGCATTCCATCCTCATCCTGACTTTGTAAGCAAAAATAATGGAATGACCCGCCTCCAGTGCCCTTGGGCTACATTCTAGGGCACTTGTTAAAGTGGTAGCCCCTACACCTGGAGAGGTTGTGTTCACCACGTTTTCCCCAACCCCATGTTAACCTCTTCAAAAGATAGCATGGTGGGGGAGGGGGCAGATTTAAACCAGAGCCACCTGCACCGGCAGGTAAATAGTAACCACAGACTCATTCTTTTTCATCAGCAGCTCTGCCCATCCCCCTGTGCTCCAACTGGCAAGCCCAAGCCCTTTGCTCAGTCCTCTCCCTCTCACTTAGTATCAGCCTTTCTTCCTTTCTGCACTATATCTTCCGCTTCCAAATTTCTCTCAGCTTCATTTTCTATTCCCATCATCTTGCTGTTCCTCTGTTCCACTCCATCCTTCTGATACATTTGTCTCATTACTCCTGCTTTATACCCAATCCTCACCATGTTGCTGTGTATTGTTGTGATGTTTCATCGCCTATGAAGATGTGCACAGATAGGAGGTGTTTTGGTTTGCTTGCTTCTTCCTCAGTGAAAAAGGAATATGGTATCCTCAACATGTGCTTTTCCAGCACACTGAGATCTGTACTCAGGAGGCCTGCCTGGACAGAAGCTCCTTAAGGAACAGACACCAAAACAAACAAATTGGCTTATTCTGTTAACAGTTCTTTTGTAAAAG